AAAAAAAAAAAAAGTAAACTTCTTAAAAAATTTCCAAGGCCCAAAATTCCTCATTCCGCTAATACCGATTTCAGATTGGTGGAGACCTGGGAAAGGTGTATAGAGCCCATGATTGTCTAAACTTCCTCCCAGTTCCTAAATCTGAGTTTCAATGCTTACGACTTGCTTATAATTTTAATGTTTAAAAATATACGCGAGAGCCTGGGCAGAATAAGCAGTTTGGTTAGAAGGCAAATCCTCTTCGCCTCCTTCCCCGGCTTTTTCTCTCACCCCCACCCGCTTTCTATTAAATGCTGAAGCCCAGGGGTGTAGAGGTGGTGGTTAGGAATGTAACAAAAAAATTAATGGAAAAAATAAACAGCGTCTTAAAAGTCCTAATATTCCTCGAAAGCCTTATAAATTAACCCTATGAAGAGCGGTGAGCCTTTTTAAGGCGAATCTATAAAAATCCAGCCCGACCTCGAAGGAGGACGACCCTTCCCCCATCCCTGTCGCTAATGTGACCAAACAAAGGTCTGTCCTGCAATCCACATCCTAATCCACGGGCGCCCCCGCCGCCGTCGCCGGGGCTCCCCAGCCTCCAGCCGCCCACAGTCGACGGAGCTACCCTGGGAGTCCCTGGCTCCGCGATTTAACTTTTTTAGAGAGGGGAAAAAAGGAGGGGTTGTAATTAGATCAGAGGCCTTTATGAATATAGACTCCCTATTGATTGATTTATAAACCCCCTGACGAACTGCAGTTAATCTAAATACACCGGGAAGCAAGAAACGTGGCTGACTGAAGGAGAAGTCTGGAAGTAAACAAGAGGAATTTCTAGTAGCAGATTTCCAGGATTTTTTTTTTTTTAGTAGCTTTTCTTCCCCAGCCTCCCAAACAATTGCATTAACTGAACTTGAGGAAATGGTAATTTGAGGGTTTTTTGTTTGTTTTTGTTGTTGTTGTTTTTTTAAGGGTGTTAAATAGAACCACCATTGTAAACACGTAACTGATTTACCTTTTCAGGTTCTAGCAGATGAAACCAGGGAAATTTTAATCTTAAAAATTTATCACCCTTGGCCCCTCCCACCCTTCCCTGACCCCTCCCCAAAGGGAGGACTTCTCATTGTTGACTTTCTATCTGAAAAGATAGAAACTAGAATTTACTGTGTTTGGGATGCATAACTTCATTCACTTCTGTGCTGAGTATTTTATGCATTTTTAAAATGTAAATGTTGATTTTAGATTTTGTTTGAAGATTAGAGAAATCCTGCAAGAAATGAAATATCCCATTGAAGATATATTTAACTCTACTTAATTACCTTTAAAAGTCATTTCTACTCCTTTTGTAGCAATTCATTGCTAACAGTTCAGTGGTAGTTGCGGAAAACAGGAGCTATTTGAAGCTTAAGTTACTCTGCAGAAGAATGGCTAATAGAGCCATCTAAATTCCTTACAATTAAAAAAAAATCAAAAACATGTAATGACTACATGGTAAAATTGTTTACTTTTGGGTGGTAGTGAGGGGTGCTTTTTAAATTTCCTTCCTTCAGAAGGACTAACAGGAGTGCAGACTCACAGGATTCTCCCTGGGCAGGGTGTGTATCTGCACCCTGGGACTTTGATGGATCTTTCCAGACCTAGTTCTTCTAGGCTTCCGGCAAAAAAACGTTTAAGGTTTTTGCCTTCCCTCTTGCTCTCTTTCTTTCTCGACCATCCCCTCTCTCTCCTGTTTTCTTTGTCCACAGCCAAGGTTTGGTTTTGTTTTCTCCCCCATCATGCAACTGAGGAAATGGCCCGCTGATGCTGGGACTGATGTACCCACACTAAGGCATGGGATGGATTCTCCACAGCCCAGAGACTCCCTCTGCCAATGCTTCCTCTCTCCAGATACAGCAAAGCCTCTCTGCCTCTGCCGACAGTTTGCAGCAGTGCGGGATCCCCTCGCCCACAGTCCTGGGAAGGAACTTTTATCCTTTTCGCTCCAGAAAGATGAGACCTAGAACCATCGCTGCTGTCCCCGAAAAAGCAGTGGACAGCTTATTGAATGTGACCTGGGACTCAGACCAGTAGCAGTTCAATTCTTGGGCACGTTTCCCCTCTCTGACTGTGTCAGTTTCAGCCTTCGAAACTGCTTCTGCTTCCCTGGGCAGGTATCAAGGGGAGTGTGCGTGGGGAGCGGCTTGCTGCGCCCAGTGGAACTTTCTGCGCCCAATGGCATCTTTCTCTGTCTTCCGGGATCGACTTTGGGGCCTTCTCGGCGTCGCTTTATTTGGTGCCTGCATTTGGTTGGCCCCGAGTCTCCCCGACAGCTTCATCCCGCTGCGTTGGGGCTAGCGGGATGGGGATGGGACGTTGAAGGGAAAGAGGGGACATCATAGTGGTCAGCGGTGGAGACCCTGCACGCCATCCCCAGCACTAAGAAATGGGCTTTGCCTATCAGAGCCTAAGGCTGCAGGCTACAGATCACTTTGTTAGAAAATAAAATACGATCAAGTAAAGTAAAGTAAAATAGAACCCTTCTTCTGTGGGCGCTGGGCCTCGGGCGATGTTCATTCACAGGACACTCCTGACCTCAGCTTCTCCAGATACCTCTTGAAATCTGTGAAGTCGAGGGAGGTGTTCTTATCTGATGAGACAGTGTCTTGTTTATCTGTTTCTCTGACACAAGAGAAAAAAAAAAAAAGAAGGAGAAGAAGAGGAACCTCTTGCAAATGCTGGGCTGCAGCTCTGGGCTACAGCTTCCCAGCGCGAAACTCCTCATCCCGGAGCCTCCTTTCCCTGCGTGGCTTGGCCAGCTTGTCATCCGCTATGCGCCAGGAGATGGATGTTTGGACAGGTGACCAGGAGCTTTTGGACCCATGATTTCCGTGGGGAGCACGCGGCCCTGCTCTTAGAACGACCCGAGGTGCAGCCGCTCCACCAGAACTTGCCCCCAGGTGCGGCTTTTCTTAGGACCTCATTGGCCGTCTACGCCGTGGTTCGGTTACAGCCTCGTCCTACCGCTTTCCACTGACTATAACAGCTGCTTTATCTTAATGTTCTTCTTTTTTTTTTTTTTTTTTTTGCCGATGATATGGTGGAAGGGCGCTGGTAAGACATGCTGCCTGCCTCCCTTTACTCTGACGGTATTTTCAGAGGCACTCAGAGAAGCGGGAACCCGGAGGGCCGCCTACGCACCTCCGGGTCACCCTCTCGGCCCCGGCACTCGAAGTTTGCATGTACCCCTGGACAACAAAACCGGAATCTAATCTGCAGCTGCCACCACGCCCCCACTTCCCGCGCGCGCCCGTAGCCGGAAGCCCCAGGCAGGGCATCGCAGCCCCCACCCGCGAGCTGCACCTACTGCCCTCGGGGACCCGCTGGGGAGAAGCGCTGTCCTTCGCGCCAGCGCTCCGGATGCCCCCCCAAGCGCAGCTCGCAGCCTGGCTGGCCGCCCCGTGGGCGGTCTGGGCTTAGCTCTGGCGCGGCCTTGCCACTGCTCCTCCAAAGATCGCGCGCCAGGCTGGGCCACAGCTGTGACCATTTCTCTGCTCTCTTCTAGTCCACCCAGGGAGTCCAGGGCCGGAGGAGCCCCCAGCCACATCCCCTTCTCACCCTTTCTCGGGCCTCTGAGCCTTCACTCCCGGGCAGCCATATACTTTGAATGGGTCATGCCTCCCTGCCTCCTTAGAGCTGCCTCTTGAAGACCGGGGTTGAACATTAACCAGCTGTGGCTATAGACTGGGGTAAAACGTTACGTATAAAAATGAATCATCTATCCAGTCCTTGGAGAGAGGACCTATAGAGAGCTCTGAACCTAGAGCAGCCCCAGCCTTGTCCCTGGCCCAATGTACCGACTCTTCTGGCGGCCACTTTCCAAGGACAGTTCAGCAGCAGGCAGCGGAGGACACAAGGGGGGCTGGAGGGATGGGGGTGACCGAGCCAACCGTTCTCCTTGCGGAGCTTGAGGTTCAGGTCTTCTAACCCAAGAGAATTTCCTTTTCTCTCACACTTGAGAATGGTCTCCAACAACTTTTCATCTCTTATAAAGATTAATGGGGGAAGGCTGGAGTCTAGGAGGAGCGGCTGCCCACAGGGGCGAGAACTATCGTGCTGCTGCCATCCCTGGCCCGGGGTGGAATCCCGAGAGGCAGGGCTTAGTGGGTTGGGAGTGGCAGCAAAAGCCCCGAAACCAGGGCCTGAGTAGGGAGGGGAGGCGCGCTGTGGGCGGTGCAACCGGCGCCCGACCTGGCCCTCAGCCTGAGACCACGCAGAAGTCCTGGCTTGTGGTAGCGCTGAAATCCTAGGCTCCCATCCGATCCCACCCGCAACTGGTCTGGACCCTGCCTCTTTCCGACTCTGATCTATTTGTTTTTTCTTTAAACGTAAGTAATGGAAAGTAAAATACCTGGCACTGACTTATGTGCTAGGCCCACGTGCCCAAATATACAGAATTTACCAAAAGATAACAGAGCTGAAGGAAGAATTCAAGACAGTGCACATCCTAAGTTCCTGTGCCCTCACCTGGGAACGTTATTGACTGAGGCGCTGAGCGAATTCCTGAATAGGAAGATGATTCTGTTTCTGTCTCTCTCCCTCTGTCTAACCTCTGCTCCCCCTCCCCCACTGAAGAAAAGAGATAAGTTGAGTGCAGGCAAAAGGGAGATGTCATGTTATTAGGGCTTTCAGGAATTGCCAACCAACCTGCAAATTCTTGTACCTCTTAAGGAGACTTTTTTTCTTATGCAAAAATAGTTTTATTTAAAATGCATACCTGACTCATTATAACCTTGTTATTATTATTTTAAATATTATTTTTCTAACAGATGGCACTCTCTGCCTCAACCTGGACCCTAACTCTGACCTGTTTATTGAAACAGAAGTTTTGCTGAGAGCATTCACTGAAATCTCTGTACTTATGGGTATGAGAAAGTGGCAGTGGTGGTGTGCATGTCTGCTGAGAACTCTGCATCGTTGCGTTACTCTCAAGGTCACATCCTAGCTTCTTCAAAGTTAGAAAGGAAAAGAACACACTGTGAACACACTGCTTCTGCTTCAGTGTGTTCACAGCCTGTATAGCGATCCTGAGAATTTCTGGCAGGGGATTGAGGGTGGCAGCAAAGACAGGGAGTAAACAAGACTTTCCAGAATGTCAGCAGGCATCAACAATGTGGCAAGTGCTGTGTATGCGTATTAATTGGACATCACTAATCAGTTCATTCTCAAAGAAATGGCTTTCTGTTTAAGATGTGGTTACAGAGTGTTCATCACTTCATGTAGTGTCACTGCTCTAACGTCAGTGCACACAATGCTCTATGTCATTCCTATAGAGCGATTCAGCTCAACTTTGTCAGCACCAAACTTGATGTTATTCCACACTCCCTCCCAAAAAATAGAATTGACTCAAATGTTCCACTAAATTAGCTCTAGAGAGACAATGAATGCCTCGAGGCAAATAAATACAAAGAAGTATGAATCACACACTCGGTTGCTTTTCAGTGACTTACAGAAATGTAGGTAGGGAAAGGGCATTTACTTTTAAGGGTTTGAGTAGTTGGGGAAAAGAGTATTCTAAAGGGTATTGCAGTGTTCGCTCAAACCCTCTTCTCCCCCACCAAATTACCATGTTATCTGACACCCTCGATCTATTTGTGTCCTGGGTAACAGACAGTTTGACCAAGAGGTCACAGACTAGAGGGCTTGGGTGACTGGAAACAAGTTTGACAAGAAAGGAATCTGGGTGGGATGCCACCATGGAGGTGGAGAGAGGATGAGGCCACCATGGCTGGAGGAGCCTGGCAACCCAAAATCTGCTAGACCCTGCATTTACACAAAATGCCTTGTCAGGGAAGGGAATGGGAGATTAGGAATAGCTGTTAATACAACTTCATGGACGAGAGAAATTTAAGTTTCTTTCTCTATTTCTTTTCTTTACCTTCCCTTTATTTTCTACCTTCTTCTTGTCCTTCTTCCGCATCAGGTGACTCTCCCCAGAATTTTGGCTGCTCCTGAATTAAGCCCTGCTTATCCTCTCTTTTGAATTAAGGCTTCAGATCGTTTGTAGTGTTCACTTTTCCAGATATGATACATGTTTTATTCAGTCAATAGTCCACCTGTAAGCCACGTGTACTTGTGAATACTGAGTGCTTCTATGAACAATAAAAATTTCAGGTCGAATAAGTAAAGCATGCAATATTGCATACCTTAGCATTTCAGAGTGCAAGAAGGACTGTGCACACTCTTTAATAAAGCCCCACTGCATGCCAGAGACTCTGGGGGAGTGAGTGAGCAGAATTCTTTCACCCGGGCAATATGACCCTTGGCATTATAGCCACCAAAGTGGGAAATCTCCATTTAGTTTGCCATTCTCACTTTGAAAGCTCCTCCTCCCCTAAAACTGCCATCTGTGAACTTGTACACATTGTCAAATTTATGTGTCCCAAGAAAACACTGAAACAGTCCTTTGAAAAGTTTATGCGCTAAACTTTTCATGAAAACGCATTTGTTTTTCTTCTGCTAAATCCTCTTTTTATTGGCTCAGCAGAATTTTATTGTGGTTTCTCTTCCTTGTACAATTGAGAAACACCTTCATTATCATCCTGCAACTCGTTAGATTAGAACTTGGTTGAAACATATCTTTTACTCCACAGAAGAGCTGCCCTATTTCACCCTCCTTTGGCTCCTTCTTTTCCTTTCTAACTTCTTCCAAAATCTCACTTACAGGTAATTCTAATCTCATGACTCTGTTCCTTTTTACTTTTTCATTTTATTTCTGGCCATTTATTGTTCCCATACTTCCAAACTAACTTTCATCCATGTTACTCCTTTACCAATTACCATATGGGGTGTTTTATTATAAGTTAAGATTTTGTGGGTCATTTTTTTTAGCTTCTTGTGGTGGCTTGGCACAATACCTTGTAATGGAGTAGATGTTCAATAAATGCCTATTGATCAAATGTTACAAGTAAAATTTTTGTTCACAAAAACAAAAGTTTAAAGACATTAAAATCTATTGAATTGGCATAAATTAAATCTCAGATTAATTCTAATTAATTTCTAATCCTTTCCCCCAACAAACTAGACATGTAAAATAATTCTATAGCAGAAATTCCATCATAATGTTTTTAAACACTGCCAGCATCTTCCCTACATCAGAGCAGTTTTAGGATGATGAATCATGATCAGGGTTCATAAGATACTGAACAATTTTTGATATTTCCTAATGTGTTATTAAAATAAAGAAGTTTTTTAAAAATCTGGTTTGGGGAATATGTGTGGTAAGGGAAATACAAAAGGGTGGAAGACATATCAATGACAGAAGTTTCCAGCTCACAGTTGTCTAGTGTCATTTTACTAGTTAAGAGATTATCATGTCCAATTCTCCCTTCCTTTATGCTTTTTAAAATTTCACTGCTCACAATTTATAGTAAAATATAGTGTATCAAAATATATTATGGACAAAGTTATTATTTATCCTTATAGTTAGGGACAAAAAACCTAAGAAATTAAAAATATTAATTCAAAAACAACAGAAAAGACTTAACCCAGGCTGGGCATGGTGACTCATGCCTACAATCCCACCACTTTGGGAAGCCAAGGCAGGGGTTTGAGAGCAGTCTGACCAACATGGCAAAACCCCGTCTCTATTAAAAATACAAAAAATTAGCCAGGTGTGGTGGTGGGCACTTGTGATCCCAGCTACTTGGGAGGCTGAGGAAGGAGAATTGCTTGAACCCAGGAAGCAGAGGTTGCAGTGAGCCAAGATCTCACCTTTGCACTCCAGCCTAGCAAAACAAACAAACAAGCAAAAGAGAGAGAGACTTAACCCAACTGGACTTTGATTAGAATCACAGACCAAACAAATTATAGTTATTTTTATTTCTGCTCATTTTTGTCCAGTAGGCCTCACATATCTTTGATGAATTTATGAGTGGTAGAATATTCCTTAGAACACTGACCACATCCACATCTACTTTCCAGCTGTTACTTAAACAACAAAACTAAACACACTTCACCGCAAACAGTGGGAAGAATGGTGTTACCTTTGGTGAAACATCCATGGAGAATTTGGTAATTCTTAATATATACTGGGAAAAAAAAGTTTCACCTTATTGTGCTAAATAAATAAATAATGCATATATAAACAAACAAATAAATAAAATGGTCAATACTGGAATGGTAGAGAAATTTTAATGACTTTTAATTCAGTGGGTTTTGCAATGCCAGCAGAACTTTTGAAGACCCCAGTCTTTGGTGGAAAACCAGTAATGCTGGTCATGCTGTCTCTTAGTGGGCACTACAGGGAGGGGTAGATGGCTGTAGATTCCAGAAACCAAGGGGGAAGATAACTGGAAACTTACAAAAAGGTAACAGATTTGACACATTATTTTTGGTTGTCTCATTCACTATCATTTAAAAAATTGTCTACGCTTTCATAAAGCAATGGGTCAATATTATTTTCACAGTACTCTTAACATTTTTTTAACCTTTATTTTATTCATGACCTTTTCCAAATATAACAATATAGGGTGATGCAGAAGATAGTTTGTTGAGTACTTTCTATGAGCCAGGAACTGTGCCAGCACTTTTTATACATTAATGTTATCTCAATCAGTTCTCACAACAACCCTATAAAGTAGATAATATTATTTCCTTATTTGACAGGTGAGAAAACTGATTCTCAGAAGTAAGTTGCCTCAGACTGCCTGGGTAATGAATGTCAGAGTCAGAGCTAGCATAGGACTCAAATTAGGTACAAAATGACAAGACCAAAGAATTGCTAGTCTTCTTCATCACGTTCTGCTGATGTGATTAGAAAGTATCACTCATAAATTGAAAGTGCTTTGAAAGTAATATTCCCTAGTTATGAGATGGATAGTGTTTGAGAAAGATGGAGATCACAGTAACTGAGCCAATCAAAGGTAGAGTTGTTTCACTCTTTCACATGTGTTTCAGAGCACATTTCCTACCCTAAAGCAATGGACAACTTGTCAAGGCAGTTCAATATGTGACATTTTATATATGATAGGAAAAGCAGCCAACGTGCTGATATTAAAAAAAGAAATATATATATACATATATACACATGCCTCCTTTATATATATACATATAAATACAAAAATATATACATATATCCATATGTGTGTTTGTGTGCATATATATATACACACACATATCAGTTGGCATACGATCAAATGAATTTTTCCCTGGTGCTGTACATTATGACTTGCTCACTCCTTTCTTGCTTCTCTCCACCCCCATTGACCCTTTTGAGGCTAACTCTAGACCTCAGCTTAGACATCTCTACTTTAATAAAGGCCTCCCTGACACTCTGGCATTGGGTTAGGTCAATGCGTCCTTCCTGTGTGCTTCCATAACCATATCAAAGCACCTAACACACTTTTTATGAACTTAACACATTTGAAGATTAGATCGGTAGTTTTCTAGCATCTCACAGCTTGCCTATTGTGCTATTTTTGCATGATTAGATCCAGATTATTTATATTTCATGATATTCAGTATATCATCGTGCTGCTATGTTCTTACAGCATCATATCAGGAGGCACACAAATTCAATACTTGATTATGTTAATTCATTACTTAAGGTGGTGTCTGCTTCATTAGTTTAATGTTTAAAGTATTTAATATCTTCTCTATCAACATTATACTTTTTCCATTGTAATTAGTATTTCATGAGCAGCTTTATGGTGAGAAATTGAAACCTCCTGCCAACAGCCATGTGAATGAGCTTGGAAGCAGATTCTCCAGGTCTTCAAATAACTGCAGCCCTGGAGAACAACTTAAATGCAACCTCCTGAGAGTCTCCAAGTAAGAGCTACCCAACTAAACTGCTGCGACATTCTTCAACCTCAAAACTGGGATGAGATGACAAATATTTATTTTTTTTAAATGCTAAGTTTTGGGGCAATCTGTTGCTTTGCAATAACTAATACACTCCCTACATTCTGTATTCCAAAATTTTTCATCACTTTTCATCTATTACAGTCTCTCTCCTTCTTTGCACTTGGAGGTTTATTTTATTTTTTCTTTTATGTTGCCATTTTAATAGCACTTTGGGGAAAATAGAGAGACACAAACATAGTCAATTCACCAAATTTTGCTTGAAGTTCAAGGAAGTAAATCTTAAGTGCAGATTTGGAGGAGGGAAGGAATAGGACTTAGAAATGCTGTGTAAGAAAAATATTTGAGCCAGAAAAAAATTGAAATAAACACTAAGAGGCAAAGAAAACCATTTTATGGAAAATCAAAAGCAATTGAAAAAGATACCTTTATTTCACATTTAATTAATATGATTCCGATTTTTAAGAATATGATCTTAGAAATACTTATTTTGTCTGCCCAACACCTCTCCCCTTTCTGGAAACAGAACTATCCTTTTTGGGGGAAATGTGATTTTCTTATTTCTCGTACCATATTGTTCTAATGCACGCTGCCAATTATAGAACTGATCTCTTTGTCCACAAGAGTAGGCATGTGAGCTTGGCTGCCTTTTGGGTCCTTCCACAGGAATCTTCAAATGAACATTTCAAAAAAAGAAGCCTCCTTTTCATGATGAAGAGATGAGTTGTCAAAAGCCAGGTTCTCCAGGGCAGAAGATTTCAAGAGAAGCACAAATGAGAGTTGGAGGGAGAGAGAGTCCTGCTGGTGTCTGTTACTATGACCCTTGAGGTCCAGTTAAATGCCCTTCTTGAGATTTTGCTATTCCGGTCATCATATTTCCCGTTTTGCCTAAGGTGGTTCAAATTGGATTTCTGTCACTTGGAAAATACTTCCTGATTCAATGGACCAGAGATCTCTCCCCCTCCCATGAATAATCTTCTCCCTTAGAGAGACAGAGAAAAAAAAAAAAAAAGTACCTTTGAAGCCAGGATTTGAGATAGTGTTTTGGGATCCTCAGATGCTCATGTGTAAGTAGAAAAATTTCATCTTCTAATGGTCCTCTACTAACATCGACTGGGAATTATTGCGGGAGTGAGGAAGGAGAGTTGTGTACACACACACACACCTATTAAGCTTTTTTGCCAACACAATAATATTTATTGAAGTTCTATTATGTTTCAGGCACTTTCATAAACAGCTGCTCTACATTAGTCCAAGACACAGGATTTTCACACTGTTCCTAATTATAGATGAGATGATATCTTTAAAATAAAAGATGTTAAATATTTGTCTTTACAAAATATAAACGTTATGAGTAAAGATTATGTGCACCTTTCTACCCTTTCTCCAAGTTTAACCTACCACCATTTGGAGGTTTCTTTTGCTTTTATAACACAAGTTTATCCTCAAAAAATGAAATAGAATTTCAAATGCAAATACCATTTTAGTATTACTACTAGAATGACTTGTTTCTAAAGACATTTTTGAGAAAGATGATTAAAAATAAACAAAAAATTTGAATCAAACTGTAACTAAATAGCGTGACTTGCCTTGAAATTCTAGCTTTATTCATATAAGTTTGCGTCCTCAAAAGAAGCAGACTGAAAACAAGTCAGCCCAAATCCATATAAACAGATTTAGGTTAGGGAGAGCAGTGATGTTAAGGGCATTAATTCCAGCTTTGATTATTACTTTGAAACTTGGACAAACAGTGTTTGTCCAGTAATTTCTCATGTATTTGTTTCCCTCTTAGTCTTCCTGACAGAGATGGTTACAACAGCCTAGAGCACTCCTCTGAAGAGATATCCATACTGGTAAAGGTAGCAACTTTTCATTTTTGCAGTGGGTGGTCCATCACAAAAATTCCCCAGTGGCTGAGAATCTGAAGCCTACTCAGGCCTCCCATAAGCTTCAGTATTTAAACATTGTTAGATGTAATTTAAGATGTGAAGTATTAGAACTAACAATAGGTAATTGGATTTTTCCAATTTTCCCATCAGAAAATATTAAGGAATTCCCAGCATATTCTGTTGTTAAGACGATGACACAATCTGTGTCAAAAATTAAATTTCTTCCCACTCACTTTAAAAAATGCAATACCTTACTTCCTTACTCTACTCTGCCATTTCTATCCTATTATATGTCTTTTTAATTGTTAAATACACATGCATATTTAAGATGTATCAAAATTAATTATATGTTTTTGTTTTCTAAATTATTTAATTAAAAAGTTGTTGAACACTATTGCAAGGTTCAGTGCTAGGCACAATAGAGGATAGGAAAATAATAATTATTTATTAAGTGTTTTGGCCAAGTGTGGTGGCTCATGGCTGTAATCTCAGCACTTTGCAAGACTGAGGTGGGTGGATCACTTGAGCCCAGGAGTTCAAGATCAGCCTGGGCAACCTGGCAAAACCCAGTCTACAAAAATCAGCCAGGCATTGTAGTACATGCCTTACTCTGGAGGCTGAGGTGGAAGGATCACCTGAGCCCGCGATATCAAGGCTGCAGTGAACTGTGATTGTGCCACTGCACTTCAGCCTGGGTGGCAGAGCAAAATCCTGTCTCAAAAAAAAAAAAAGTTCAAGACCAGCCTGGTCAACATGACAAACCCTGTCTCTACTAAAAAAAAAATACAAAAATTAGCTAGACATGGTGGCATGTGCCTGTAGTCCCAGATACTCAAGAGGCTGAGACAGGAGAATCACTTGAACCCAGCTCACTTGCAGTGAGCTGAGATCATACCACTGCACTCCAGCCTGGCAGTGGTTGGACAGAGTGAGGCTCTGTCTCAAAAAGATAATAATTATAATAAACAAAAAAAAAATCCAGCAGTGTTTTGTACCCAATTTATATCTCATTTAATTCTGACAACAAACCCATAAAATAGGCATTGTTATTCTCATTTTACTAATGAGGAACTTGAGGTAGCAAGAGATTAATTTGTCCAAGATCATTCAGTTATGAACTGGTAAAATCGAATTTAAATCTGAGATCATTTGGCCTCTAAAGGTTTTTCCCTTAACCACACTATACCGTGTTCCTACACAGCACGGTCAAACCAATGTATAATACTTACCCAACTCATTTCATGATGATTTCAACTCATGAAGAACCACTTTTAAGTAAGGCAAATGTGTTAACTACTACACGTGGAACAATAATCTATGCTCTCAGGAAGCTTAAAATACACAAGAAGAGATAAATTATGTAAGCAAATAACTGACATTTAAGTTAGAATTCAATGAATACCTTAGGAGTGGTACAAAGTATGATGGACTTTCAGAAAAGATTGAGAATACTTCTACCTGGGAGGATCAAGGCATCATGTTTGACATTTCTCTTGATTTTGGCTTTGAAAGATGGGAGGGGGTTTTAATAAAAGCATCGGAAAATTATTTCAGGCAAAGTAAAAAGCATAGTAAAGACTTGATGGTAGGCCTGGCACAGTGGCTCACTTCTATAATCCCAGCACTTTGGGAGGCTGAGGTGGGAAGATCACTTGAGCCCAGAAGTTTGAGACCAGCCTGGGCAACATGGCAAAACCTCGTCTCTTCAAAAAATACAAAAATTAGCCAGGCATGTTGGCGTGCCTGTAATCTCAGCTACTCTGGAAGCTGAAGTGAGAGGATCGCTTGAGCCTGGGAGGCAGAGGTTGCAGTGAGTCCAGATCACACCAGTGCGCTCCAGTCTTGGCAGCAGAGTGAGACCCTGTCTCAAACAAAAAAGGAGAAAAGAAAAAAAGAAGGAGACTTGATGGTAGATGTGGGATGAGTTTGGTGAACCAAGAATAATCCAGTGTGAAGTAACAGTGGAAGATAAGTCTGAAGCTAAACTGCGGCTAGAATGTGGCTGACATAGAAAACTAGGCCAAGAAGTTTAAAGTTTACTGTGTAGGCAGTGAGAAGATAGGATTTCTACTGGGGTTCTGAGCAGTGAATGAATGGAAAGATGCTGTGCTTTAGTGAGTTAATGGGTCAAAGATATGTGGCCAGATGAACTACAACAAGAAGTAAACCAAAGGGTTTAAACTGGGGATTATGGTAGAGAAAAAAGAAGACAAATCAGAGGAAGACCGCCAAAAGACTAATGGATGAGAGCGTTTAGAGAAAGAACAAGTAACTTCAAGTTTTTTAATATATGTGACTGACTGAATGAGAAGGTTATTAGCAAAACTTAGAAATGCTATTTATTTGAAGAGGAGTTGCTTAAGTTGGATGAACAAGAAAGGGCATCAGTCATGGCAAAGCAGGTAAAAAGAAACAAAGTTTTGGAATCCCAGCATCAGGAAGCCTAGGTGTTTGGTAAAGAACGAAGCAATCAACATGTTCATCTAAGACTGACCTTACTGAGAGATCAAGTAATTACAATTATTATGGTTTGCAAGGCAGCCAGAAGCTTGCCCCAAACTTTTCTTTTATTTGTCAACTTTATCAGGAAATATACACCATTAGATAGTCTGTTATGGATTAAGGCATTGACAACAAATGTTCCCTAAATTTTATTAGAATGTCCAACTTCTTCCTTATCAGAAATAGTCAAAGTCTGATCATATAGTTGGAGATTTAAAAATACTCCCAGTTTGGAACAACGGGGGCATACTTAGGGTGTCAAGGGAAGGTTTCTTGGGGCAGAAGGAATTGGATACTGACATGGTTTGGCTGTATCCCCACCCGAATCTCATTTTGAATTCCAGCATATTGTGGGAGGGACCCAGTAGGAGGTAACTGAATCAGGGGGGCAATTCTTTCCCATGCTATTCTTGTGATAGTGAAAAAGTCTCATGAGATCTGATAGTTTTAAAAAGGGGAGTTTTCCTGCACATGCTCTCTCTCTTTCTTTGCCTGCTGCCATCCATGTAAGACATGACTTGTTCCTCCTTGCCTTCTGCCATGATCGTGAGGCCTCCCCAGCAATGTGGAACTGACCATTAAATCTCTTTCTTTTGTAAACTGCCCGATGTTGGGTATGTCTTTATCAGCAGCATGAAAACTAATACAGATACCAAGAAACTTGAAGGCATAATCTGTCAATAATTTATTAACCAATTCACCAATTAAGAAATATTCGTTAACAATCTACTGGAAATAACACACCTTGCTAAATCCAAGGGAAGAAAACAACAACAACAACATTGTCTCTATTCTTTGTTTTTGAGGCATAGTCTTGCTCTGTTGCCCAGGCTGTAGAGTAGTGGAATGATCTCAGCTCACTGCAATCTCCACCTCCCAAGTACAAGCAATTCTTCTGCCTCAGCCTCCTGAGTAGCTGGGACTACAGGTATGTACCACCACACCTGGCTAATTTTGTATTTTTAGCAGAGACAGGGTTTCACCATGTTGGCCAGGTTGGTCTTGAACTTCTGACCTCATAATCCACCTGCCTTGGCCTCCCAAAGTACTGGGATTACAGGCATGTGCCACTGAGCCCAGCTGGTCTCTATTTTTGATGACTTTATCCTACCTCATAATTTTGCCTGAGGCTAGTATTTTGTGTGCAACTCTGGCAATTCAATTTTAACTTTCAGTTTTCCAAATTAGAAAATTTAGAACTTATAATTTTTACTATTCACTTCTTAAGGGTTTTGTCAGTATAATTAATCCAGCCTTAAAAAAAAAAATTAGAGTTCCTGATGAACGTGGAGTTGCCCACTGCTTAGTATACTATATTATCATAGTGCATGGGGGAACTGGACTCCTATTTATATCTAACAAAAAAGTGAACTAAGCGTGTGTGTCATTTCTATAATGGTGCTGGTAAAGATGTATGTACTTATTTGATGAACTTTTCAAGTGTATATAGGCCTAGAGACACAAGTGTTTAGCAACATTTTCATCAGTAAATTAGATTTCAAAAATTTTATAACTTAGCATGCTTAATAATTCAAAAGCTCAAGAGTGTTGTTGATATGACAGAAGTAAAATTCAAAAAAATCTGAAGTTGAAATACAGAACTGAAACTACAATAAAAACTTAATGATAGATATGAGTACAGTTTAAGTTTGAAAAAATCAATTAACTTGAACCCAGGAGGTGGAGGTTGTGGTGAACCAAGATTGCACCATTGCACTCCAGCCTGGGTAACAAGAGAGAAACTCTGTCTTAAAAAAAAAAAAAAAAAAAAAAAAAAACAATTAATACCAAAAGGGATGAAGCTAGCTTAATAGAAGCATCTGTAAATTAAATTATCAGGGACTTCAGTGGATATGGCAGCCAGCCTTCACAATGGCCTCAATGATTTCAGGCTCCTATACTTCACATTCTCTTGCAATGTCATGCCCCACCCCCTCTCCAGTGAATAAAGTTCCCCTATGTAGCTAACAGAATATTGTGGAAATAATGATGTGTGGCATTAAAGGACAGCACATAAAAGATACAGCAACTTTTGCCTTGCTTTCTTTTTGATCACCTCTCTGAGGGAGGTAGCTGCCATGTCATGAAGCAGCTCCAAGAGGATAGTAAGGAACTGAGGCTCACATGGTAGGGAACTGAGGCTGCCTGTGAACAGTCATCATGAACTCACCTGCCATGTGAGGGACATCTTGGAAGCAGAATTTATAGCCACAGTCAAATTTTTAGATGGCTGCAATTTCAGGCAATATCTTGAATCCAAACTCAGGAGAGACCCTGACCCATTTAGCTGAGCAGCTCTCAAATTCAGGAATGAGATAATAAATGACTATTGTTGTTATGAGTCATCAAGTTTTGTGATTATATGCTACATATCAATAGATAAGTAATACATTTGGAAGGAGTTGCTGCTATTTTAACAAATTTTAAATATATAGGAGAGGCACAGGAGTTAGGCAATGGCAGAAACTAAAAGATGTTGAAGGGGGTGTTAGTGAAAGCTGAAATGTCTTCAATAGACTATTAATAATAAGCCTGAAGTTTTTAGGGAGGCTTCTGCTGAGGAAAACATTAACAGAAACTGGAGGAAAGGGGGATAGTTTTAATATAGTGGCAGAAAGTTAAGCAACACAGTTACCTGAAATACTGTGGAACTGGATATTGTATAAAATGGATGATCTAGGTAGAAAATTTCCAGTCAAAGTTTGGAAGGTACTTCTTGCTGTTTATAGTAAAATGTGAGATAGAAGAAGATAAGCTAAAGGACAGGTTGTCAAACCAAAAGAAGCTGAGACTTGTTAGTCTTGAAAATTGCTAGCCTCTCAAGATGGGAAACAATCCTAAAATAAAGAAATGGTTTCTTTACAAAGATCAAACCCAGGCATTGCCAGATGTCAGACTACCATGGTGTAAAAATGAAGCTGAGGATATGATTGTAAAGTCCTTTGCTAAGACCTTAGAAAGATCTAAGGTTGTACCTCAGAGAACCGTTCAGTCATATTAGAGCTTCTGAGAGGCTTAAGAATAAACTCAGCACAGACTCTGAATATAGAAGAGCTTATCTCAAACAGATTTGTGGTTGTCGCTTTTGTATAATGGAATTTACTCCAGTAAGATTCACAGGAGACCCACAACCTTTTTAAGAGTATTTAACTGTTGGAAACATCAACAGGTTGGACTAAGAGAACAAAAGAAAAGATGCTTTTGTACCTCCAAATTTCTACTGGCAGGAACCAGACTAGGAAAAATACACAGCTGCAAACATAGGGTACCTTTTATGGAAATATAAATTGGCTCAGAAAATAGAACCAAAACTTCAAAGGTCTAAGCCAAGAGTCATAGACAATCATTCCCAGGAAGCAGCAGGAATGAGTACTAGTGAAAAGTATCTAACATTTGCCTAGCCAGATTTCAAAATTGCTATGGATCAGTTGCTATTATATGCCTTTTGTTTTTTACACTTTGAACAGGAGTGTCTTTAGTGGTTACCTTATTTATGTCCCATCATTGTATATTAGGTGTGTATGTGGGTAAAGAGGAGCATATTTTTTATCTCTTTAGTTCACAGATGTTTAGATCAAGGAATTTCTCTCAAGGAGCTATATTCAAGGAACCACACTCAAAAAGCCTTATTCACATTTGGGTATGGTTGAGATGGCAAGATTGTAGACTTTGAGATTATGCTGTAATGGAATGAGATTTTTGATGTCCTTGAGAACATGTAAGTATTCTTTTCATGTGGGATGGACATTAGTCACTGGGGAATAGAGGATAGACTCTAATGCCAACTTCTAAGATGACCTCCTGGTAATCCCTGCTTTCTGGTACTCATGCTCCTGTGTAGCCCCCTCCCATACTGAATAAAGCTGACCTGTGCACCAATAGTGTATTATGTTAATGCCAATGTGTGATTTCAAAGGCTAGCACATAAAAGATCTTGTGGCTTGGATCTCTCTCTTTGTCTCTCTCAGATAACTCATTTTGGGAGAAGACAACTGTCATACCATGTCATGAAGATACTCATGCAGTCCTATGGAGAAGTTCATTGGTAAGAAACTAAGCTGGAATAAACTTGACAGACATGTGACTGAGCCATCTTAGAAGCAGACCTTCAGCCTCAGACAACTTTCAAAGGATTGTAGCCCTAGCTGAGATATCAACCACAATCTCACGAAAGAATCTCATGATTCTGAACCAGAGCCATCCAGCCAAGCTGTTCCCAAATTCCTGAGCCACAGAGACTGTGTGAGATAATAAATGTTTATTGTTGTTCTCAGCCACTACGTTTCTAAATTATTTTTTATTTATTTTTAGACATAAGGTCTCACTTTGTTGCCCAAGCTGGGGTGAAGTGGCTATTCACAGGTGTGATTGTAGCAAACTACAGCCTTGAACTCCTGGGCTCAATTGATCCTCTCCCCTCAGCCTCCCAAATAGCTATGACTACAGACATGCACCATACACCAGGCTAAATTTTGGGGTAACTTGTTATGCAGCAATCTCAATATGAGGCAATGGTAAGACATTACTGCTTAAAAATGTTATGTGTTTTTTTGGCTGCATCAATTGAATAAAGGTTCCGTATCATCTATTAAGAGTCCACTTCTAGACTTACACCAATGTAGGATATTGTTTATAGCTTGAGTCATATAATTTGACAGGCATTGGTAAAGATATTGAGAGCACTAAAGTACTATCCATATGGTGAAAACAACAAAATATAACATAAAAAGTGCTTCAGTCAACTGGTGATGTTTAACCTTGAGTAGACTAAGGAATGACACAGTATCCATACAAGTATTTAAAGCTGTAGTGTAGGGAAGATATAACAGATTTGTTCTGAATATCCTGTGTTCCTTCAAAGCAGAGAAAAAGAACAAAAGACTTAATGTTGTAGAATGGGTAGATCCCAACAAAATATGTGGAAGCACTTTTTTTTGATGCTTCATTCTTTAACAAAATAATGATGTCCACATTGGAAAAGTTGAAACATAAGCAAGATTACCCTGATAAAAAAAGGTAGTTCAGAAATCTCCTAGACTGCAATGTTGAATAAACTTTACAAATGGCCATAAGGCTGCTTCCCCGTTTGATCTAAGGCACACTTAGTTTACTACAATAATCCAGCAAATTTAGAGGCACTCCCTTGCCCAAACCTCCAAAGCCTTGTAGAAGGACCATCTTAGGTGACACAGTGGACTTTCTACAGATCCATGGAATGTAATGTAAGTGTTTTTCCAGTTAACACCATCATCTAGATACAAAGCAGAAAGACCAAAAGACCACTACAGAGGAAGATACTGCTTATTAGTATTTGGTCTAAAGATTTTTTTAAAAGGCTTTTCAAGGATAAATGTATTTTTTGAAGCTAAGATTCAGATTCAGCTTTGGCTTCATTTTAAATAAATACACTCTGGATTAGAATGATTTCTAAAATCTAAAGCTAACTTACATATCACAAAGTACAAAGAAGATAAGCACAAATCATTTTCTTTACTGAGAATCATTTCATTAATACTGTTAGAGGCTTTTCAGGAGGGTCCATTATATGCCATACATGTGCTAAACTTTCAGTCAGTAAACCAAACTTACATAATTATTCTTCTTTTTTTTCTTCTTCTTTCTCTTCATCATAATTATTCTCCTCCTTCTCCTTCTCCTTCTCCTCCTTCTCCTTTTCCTCCTTCTCTTTCTCCTTCTCCTTCTTCTTGTCTTGTTCTGTCACCCAAGCTGGAATACAAGGGCACAATCATGGCTCAATGCAGCCTTGAACTCCTGAGCTCAAGTGATCCTCCCACCTCAGCCTCCTGAGTAGCTGAGACTACAAGCACATGCCACCACGCCAGCTACTTTTTAATTTTTTGTAGAGATGAGGTCACTATGTTGCTCAGGCTGGTCTGGAACACCTAAGCTCAAGCTATCCTCCTGCCTCAACCTCCCAAAGTGCTGGGATTACAGGCATAAACCACCATTCCCGGCAAGATTTTTTTTTTTTTTTTTGAGATAGGATTTCCCTCTGTCGAGCAGGCTGGAGTTTAGTGGCATAATCTTGGCTCACTGCAACCTCCACCTCCCAGGTTCAAGTCAACCTCCTGCCTCAGCCTATAGCTGGAACTACAGGCATATGCCACCATGCCCAGTTAATTTTTTTCTTTTTTGAGATGAGATTTCACCATGTTGCCCAGGCTGGTCTCAAACTCCTGAGCACAAGAAATTTGCCTGCCTCAGCCTCCCAAAGTGCTGGGATTACAGACATGAGCCACCACACTTGGCCTCTGGCAGGATGTTAAAATCTTAATTATCTATGTAATACTCAGAATTTTGGGGTCCCTTAAAAAATAGTTATTTTTTTTTCTTGAATAATAAAAAGAATTAGAAAAGATGAGTTCATACCCTAATTCTTAAAAACAACTTAGAAATTATTGTAGGGATAATATAAAAACAATTCTTTATTAGATAATTGTATTAGTCCATTCTCACACTGCTATAAAAAACTACCTGAGACTGGGTAATCTATGAAAAAAAATAGATTTAATTGACTCATGTTTCTACAGGCTTAACAGGAAATATGACTGGAAGGCCTCAGGAAACTTACAATCATGGCAGAAAATGAAAGGGAAGCAAGCATGTCTTACCATGGCAGAGCAGGGGGAAGACAGTGATAGGGGAGGTGCTATGCACTTTCAAACAACCAGATCTCGTGAGAACTTCATCACAAGAACAGTAAGGGGAAAGTCAACCCCTATGATTCTATCACCTCCCATGAGGCCCCTCCTTTAACATGTGGGAATCACAATTAAAGATTAAACATGAGATTTGGTTGGTCACAGGACCAAAGCTATTCAATAATTTTGCCTAAAGTAATAATATTTCCTTAAATAGAAATGGGGAAAATAAAGCCATAGTATTTTGCTAGTTGTCTTTGAAGTTAAGACTATTTTCTTGTTTTTACCACATACAAACTGGGTTTAACATTTATGTCGAACATATATAAATGTTATACAAACATGTATGTGTTATCTATTGCGCTTTGAAGATGAAGAGCCTGGTAATTGTAAAATATGTTTTAATGGTTTCATTTTTCAAATTTATTAAGACATTAATCGTATTTTCAGTAGAATGACATATATGAAAATGCTGACTTTAAGTCTGAAGTTAACTTTTTTTTGACATTATAGAGCCCCAGTGTTCTGAGCTCTTTCCCCAAGAGCCTGGCCCATATAAAAGCCCATTTTTCCATTGCTGTCTTGAAAAAAACTTATATCCAGAACTTTTTCTTATCATTGCTTCTTGAGGCTAATCCTTATTTGTCCATCATCTTTCTTTTTGTTTTATATTGCTAATATAGATTAAGGACAAAAAATATAAAGCAATGTATGCATAAATACATAAACATTCATGTATTTCATGTATTTCAGAACCTTAGTTACTATGCCAAGATTATTAGATTCTAGCTCAAAGTTCTTAAATTATTTGTTTTATAACTGAAAGGGAATGTCTTGTTTTTTTCACTTCTTCTTAAGTCCCTTCCTAGCCTATGAGCCTTTACCAATCCCTGGTATCCACTGGGATTAACATTTATAAACCGCAAATACACAAAAAGCCAAGGGCCAAGTGTTTCCAAATGGGTATAAATACGTTTTCCTTACAGTGTTAAAATGAGGTAATACAAATCATCATTAAGGAGAATGGAGAACTCTCATTTTCAATGTATACTGCAATTAAATTAAGTTTCTCTAAAAACCCAGCTGGTCTGGGTTTAGAATCTAAAATGTATAAGAAAGTAGATTTTTGCTAATAATAGGAGCACCCACTTTTCATATGGAATGGCTTTGTGTGACTCAATGTTAAATATTTAAAGTACTAAAAAATTTAATATATTTAGTTCCCTTCTTTGAAAGGGCAAGGGCTTTTAACTTCTAAAGCCACTTTTACACTATGTTTGCAGATTTGGTTTTAAGAACATTATAGCCTAAACTAAGTAAAACATTGCCAGAATGTTTTTCAATATGGAGTATAATTTTTATTGTCATGTATTTATCTTTCTATAATGGGAACTAACCTCACATAATTTTAAAAGAAGATAAATTTTTAAATGTAAAATGAATGGATATCTGTTTTCTCAACTGTCTCCATAAATTACATGTCAATATAAAAATATTTCATTGTTATAAGTATATAGAACATTTATGAAATCCAATATTCCTTCTCTTTGTCATAGTTTAAAGTGAGTTTTCACAGTATTTCACTTAAAAGATCTCCACTGTGTAATTCTTAGCCCTAATACATTTCAGTCATGATTTTTCCTTTGTAGCTCTGATATTTACACTTTGATTCACAGCACAAAAATATTTGCAGTGTCACTGTCAGTGCAACAAATGATATGCATCTCAATATTTTGAAACATGATTTTATAGAAACTTTGATACATTATTATATTTCACAAAAGCCTATGGGTAACTCAGTCTGTTATAACACTGTGGGACTATAAAATATTTTAGATGATATAATGAGGAAAGAAGATAGATTTAATGTGGGACACATTACTACCAGGTATTCATCAGTTACCTGCTCTCTTAATGTGGAATACATTACTACCAGGTATTCATCAGTTACCTGCTCTCTTTCTGCATTCCTAGGTAAAAATCAAGATCAAAAACATCAATTCAGTAGCACAAGTATTCAGATTGCATTTTTGCGGGGGAAGTGTTTTAGGGAAAAGTTTGGGAAATGCAGCCTGAAGAACATCTAGCCCATAGACATATAGTAGTAAATAGTTGGAGCTAACAGAATTGACAATTTATATTCTAAACGTGTCTCATATAATGGAAGACTAAAACTTTCTTTAACCTCTGAACCCTTATCCTAGTTTCTCAGTGATTAAAAAAGGAGAAATGCCACTCCTTTCAGTAAAAGACTTGAGGAAGCTTCTAAATACATAGGTGTATATATACATATATATATATGTATATATATATATACACACACACACACACACACACATATATATAAAATATATCATATATATTATATATATACACACATATATATAATATATATAATACATATATATTATATATATTATATATTTCATTGCATTTAAGTTCTGGGGTACATATGAAGAACATGCAGGATTGTTGCATAGATACATATATGGCAATGTGGTTTGCTGCTTCCATCCCCATCACCTATATCTGGCATTTCTCCCCATGTTGTCCCTCCCCACCCTTCCCACCCCCCATTGTCCGTCCCCTAGCCCCCCTCAACTGACCCCAGTGTGTGATGTTCCTCTCCCTGAGTCCACGTGTTCTCATTGTTCAACACCTGTCTATGAGTGAGAACATGTGCTGTTTGGTTTTCTGTTGTTGTGTCAGTTTGCTGAGAATTATGGTTTCCAGATTGATCCAAATCCCTACAAAGGACACAAACTCATCATTTTTTATGGCTGCATATTATTCCATGGCGTATATGTGTCACATTTTCTTTGTGCAGTCTACCGTTGATGGTCATTTGGGTTGGTTCCAGGACTTTGCTATTTTACACAGTGCTGCAATGAACATATGTCTGCATGTGTCTTTATAATAGAACAATTTATAGTCCTTTGGGTATATACCCAGGAATGGGATTACTGGATCAAACGGAATTTCTATTTCTAGATCCTTGAGGAATCGCCACACTGTCTTCCACAATAGTTGAACTAATTTGCACCCCCACCAACAATGTAAAAGTGTTCCTATTTCTCCACATCCTCTCCAGCACCTGTTGTTTCCAGATTTTTTAATGATGCCCATTCTAACTGGCATGAGATGGTATCTCAATGTAGTTTTGATTTGCATTTCTCTAATGACTAGTGATGATGACCATTTTTTCATAAAATACATAGGTTTTTAAAAACATAAATGGAATTAAATTGTTAGAAAACAATTATATTTTATAAGGATCATTACATTGTAAGCCTAGATGAACTTTTACTTTTCTTTGTATCCTCAGACCCTAATAGTAGCCAATATCAGGTAGAAATTTACTAAATATATATTGAATTATGCATTTTTAAAAATTACATTTTAAGTTCTGGGGTACATGTGCAGAATGTGCAGGTTTGTTACACAGGTATACAAGTGTCATGGTGGTTTGCTGCATCCATCACCCTGTCGTCTGCATTAGATATTTCTCCTAATGCTGTCTCTCCCACATCCCCCCACCCCCTGCTATCCCTCCCCTAGACCCCACTCCCCGACAGACCCTGGTGTGTGATGTTCCCCTCCTTGTGTCCATGTGTTCTCACTGTTCAACACCCACTTATGAAGGAGAACATGTGGTGTTTGGTTTTGTGTTCTTGTGTCAGTTTGCTAAGGATAATGGTTTCCAGCTTTATCCATGTCCCTGCAAAGGACATAAACTCATCCTTTTTTATGGCTGCATAGTATTCCATGGTGTATATGTGCCACATTTTCTTTATCCAATCTATCACTGATGGGCATTTAGGTTGGTTCCAAGTCTTTGCTATTGTGAACAGTGCCACAATAAACATATGTGTTCGTGTGTCTTTATAATAGAATTATTTACAATCCTTTGGGTATATACCCAATAATGGGATTGCTGGGTCAAATGATATTTCTATTTCTAGATCCTTGAGAAATCACCACAAAGCAAATCAAAACCACACTGAGATACCATCTCATGCCAGTTAGACTAGTGATCATTAAAAAATCAGGAGACAACAGATGCTAGAAAGGATGTGGAGAAATGGAGAAATAGGAATGCTTTTACACTGTTGGTGGGAGTGTAAATTAGTTCAAGCATTGTGGAAGACAGTGAATGAATAATTTCTAAAATAAAATAATTTTTGAAAATTCAGAATCTTTTATAATTTTAGATTTTGCATTAATTCAATAACTCAAATTTTATTTTCAAAGGCCAAATCTATATCATTAAACATTATCATTTAACATGGAATCAAAACAATATAGTCATACTTGTAGCAATATTGTTAATAGTATTAATTCCATATTAATTTTTGCTTAAAAACATTTTCCTGGCTAAAACTCAGAATATGAAACATATCAAATAGGATGCAAATCTAAGTGAATTGTTGAGTTCGTCGTAAATAGCTAGGAATAGAAATGTATAACAGAAATGTGACTAGGCCTGAACATCTGTGGTTATGTGGTTAACTAGAATAAGTATCTTTATTCAATTGGGTCTGGAGTTCATTTGCATTTATAACCAAATACTTGGAAACTAGCTATTATTGCTGCTATTGTTGTTGAACTTTTAATGAATTACATGCTGCACCAATTTTAGTGGACAGTAATTTCTTCTCTAAAAGTACAAATGTGTGAAAATTAAAACAAAATGAAAATGCTGACAGATGTTCAGCTGAAGTAACACTACCTTGGACCTATTCCACATTGTGTTTTCAAGCCCTGCTTTTCTCCTCAGATAGTTTAAGAAAAACCTCTAAACAACTCTTGAAACGACAATACGTCTTGACTGAGATCTCTCATGAATCCTGCACATTTTCATTCTCAAATTATGTTAAATGTTTAGATCCACTCTAAGATTACTAAATAGACAGAGCCAAGTAATACAATTTACTAAAAAGAATTGCTCCCTCTAGTGAAGTCATAATATTATTTCATTTCCTGGCACTCCTGTACTGAGTAATTTAATAAATGATATAAATGATGATGACTATTATGTTGATGATAGTGGTCTGGCCTACTTTTGTGATATTAAATTTTAATGTTTTCTCTGCTTGAAAATGGGAAAGTTAATAATGATTGATTACAGCTGCTTACTGGATATTTTAGAACATTACATTTAAAAACCCTGTGTTGAAAAAATAATTTATTTCTAAAACTCTTGAGATTATTTCTGAACCACATTTGGTACCATGTGATTTTGAGGGCTATAA